GATAGATAGATAGATAGATAGATAGATAGATAGATAGATAGATAGATCATATATATATATATATAAATCTATATGATCTATAAAATAACCAACTAAATGTAAGAAAAAAGGAAGATAATGCCAAGGCTTTGACTAAGGAAGAACGAGGATTCAGGAGTGAATTAAGATGCCACTGAATGAAATAGTGAAGTCGGGAGCTATACCAGACAAGAAGACGGAGAGAAAGGATCTCTAAAGTCCTCTGTGTTCCCACCTTAGAGCCGCCCACTCCAACACCTCCAATGCGGCAGCTTTCTCCAGTCCTTTGAAAAGCAGTGACTCAGCTGCCACCTCTCATTGACTCTTCTCTCCTGTTGATTCAGATTTTGAACACGTCGAATGCCTCCCAGGCGGTTACCTTGACTTACGCAGTTTGGAATCAGAGCACACTCCTGAATGGCACGGTCTCCAGCAGCCTTCTGAGCCAGCTGTCGGCCGAGCTGGTGGGCTTCTACCTCACCTACCCACCCCTGACCATTGCAGAGTGTGAGTATGCTTGGGGGAGGGAGCGGACGTCACACTCCTGGGGACCCTCCTCCAAAATGGCCTTCCCCACGATCACATCTTTCAGCACTCACCATGAGCTCTCATCTCATTCCATCCCCACCCTCTTCCTGGAAACAAGGGGAAAAAATAAAGATATGATGGTTTTGAGTTGAACAGACTAAAAGTTGCTCACTTAACTGGCAGGGCTTCTTTCCCTCAGCCACCAGGGTTGATGTCATTCCCCCAGGTCGCCAGTTGGCAGAAGTCCCCAGGCCATCAGGTAACAAGGCACCTGTTCTATGTCGAGACATTACAGCCGCAGCTTCATGATGTAAATTCATTTCTAATTAAGTCTCTCAGCTCCCCTTGATGAAAGTCCCCACAGGGTTGTGGGCTTCCTCTTGGAGCTGCACACCCTCTAACAATACAATTACATAAGCCTCATTAAATACATTACCTGTGTTCTCCTGAGACTGTGGATCCTGCATCTCCTGCCCCAACATTTTTTTTCTTGCTAGCCATGGATAAGCAAAGAAAGGTCTGAGCTTGGAGATCTAATTTTTCTTTCACTTGGTGTGTTGTCCAAGGGTGGAGGGCAGGTTTTCCATCTATTCGCCAAAAAAAAAGTGTTTCTTCTATTTGACTCATATAGTTGATTTAAACACTTCAGCAAGGACTTCATGGCATGCTCTTGGGTATTTCCATGCATTCTGGGGAGAAAGGATTTGTGGGACTCTGCATTTCCCTAATCCTAGTCTCCTTCCTGGCCGCATGGAAAGAATTTTTTTTGTCATCACCTTCATATTTTGATTGTCATCAAATTGTAAAGAAGCTTGAGGCTAACAGTTAGAGGAATTGCTGTTTGATCAACTAAATTTAGCTTTTGGAGCAAAATGCATATGACAATTTTTTGGTCTAGTAATGTGGGGAACTCCCAGTATGGAAACTCCCTCCACTGATGCACATTGGCAACTTGTGGTTTTGGAGACTCCTCTGGGTCCTGAGAGATTATATGACTTGCCTACGGTCACACTAGACATTATGTATCAGAAGCAGGACTTGACAGCAGGTTTTCTTAATTCAAGGGCTGGACCTCTAACCACTATGGCACTCAGCCTTTCAATAATAATAACAATAATGATGATAATATCTTTTTTAAAGTACATTATACCCATAGAGTACTGTCAGATACACAGATGTTCTTTTGGAGCCCTACCACAATCTTATGGGCTGGTGGCAAAGAGAGTAAGTGATATTTTTTTCCACTGAGGTCACTTACATGAAATGGAATGTCTGGAATTCATACTCAGCTCTTTGGACTCCCAAGTTTGATACTCTATCCATTATACCAGAAGGATAGATGCCCATTCCCTGAAAAGAAAAAAAATTTTGTAAATGAATGAAAACAGATGTCTAGGCAGGACAATTCCCACTTCATTGGAAATATGCCTCGAGAGTACTGGCATTTAATAAGAAAACTACTTTATTGTAATAATCTGGCTCCGAGCTACAAATCCTAGGAAATGGTGAGTCTGCAAATCAGTCCTTGATTAAGTATATCGATTTTCAGGACCATAGACAGTGGTCCTGCCTGTGTTATGTGTTAATAGTCGCTGAGCATGAGAAGGCCAGATTTAGTTGATTCATTCTTTTTGGCATGCTTGAATTTTCTTTTACAACAAGCATTTATAAGAACCTGTCCAGCAGGAGAAATGTAAAGAAATATGCTTATCTTTTTTGTTTTGTTTGTTTTAGCCTTGGAATACCCAAACCTCGATGTCTCAGAGACAACTAGAGACTATTGGGTGATTACAGGTAACTTGAGTTCTGTCCTATCATTGGTTTGATCTGACAACTGCATGTCTTTTAGTGATGTATTTGGCCCTTTTTATTCATTTCTGACTTATTCATCAGAGAGTTCATTCTCCTGGACCAATGTCAGGTGAGTATAAGGAACCAGGGATAAGAAAAGAGATCCTGCTAAAGATGGCTATTGAATCAGCACAACCACTGATGCTTCAGAGTAGCCTCCTTAGAGACAGAAAGTGAAAAATAAAGGTCTCTGCTCATAGATCTAGCTTTTAATTTAGCAGCCCACAAATTTTGTATGAGTCAATGGTGTAGAACCAAGATATGAAGTTTCCACTTTTATTTTTGTTAGGGAGGGGGTATAAAACTGTGTTTCATAGACTTGGGAAACTCCTGGTATGGAAGCCCCCTTTTCCAATGGTGATGAGCAATTTATCGGTAACGTAAAAGGAGCATAAGAAACAGTGATAAGAGAAGAGATCTTGATGGAAATGACTACTGAATCAGCACAACCACTGATGCTTCAGGGTCACCTCCTTGGAGACAGAAAGAGAAAAATAAAGGTCTCCACTCATAGGTGTAGCTTTTAATTTAGCAGTCTACAAGTTCCATAGGAGTCAATGGTTTACTGTGGCAGCCAAGGACACTAATGTGGTCTTGGGCTGCAGAGTATCTGGCAGTGGGCCTGCTCTACTCTGTTGTGGCCAGATTTCTTTGGACTTATTGTGGCTAGTTCTGGGTACTATGGCTTAAAAAGGACATGAATAAGCTAGAGAGCATCCAGAGGAGCACACCCGGGATGGTCTAGGGTCTCAAATCATGACACATCACAATTGCCTGAAGGAACTGTTCACATGTAGGCTGGAGAAGAGAAGGCTTAGCTGGGGATATGATCCACATATAGCTTTAGGTATTTAAGGGGGCTGGCAAAGAAAAGAGGCATTTGGCTTGCTTGGCCACAGAGGGTAGAGCTAGGAGCAATGGACTAAAGACTTAAGAGACAAATTTAGGCTTGATATAAGTGGAAATTTCCCAGCAATCAGTACTATCCCAAAGTAAGATGGGCTCTCTCAGGAGGTAATAAGTTCTCTCATTGAAGTCTTCAAGCAAAGGCTGAATGACCATTATTTGAGTACATTATAGAGTTGGATTCCTTTCCCTAGAATAGCTAGTATTTATATAGCATTTAAAGGTTATATTTATTATCTTACATTTATTATCTCATTTGATATTCATCACAACCTTATTAGGTAGGTGCTGTTATTCTCCCCATTTTACAGCTGAGGAAACTGAGGCACAAAGAGACTGAGTGACTTGCCCAAGATCCTACTGCTAGCTAGTGAGTGTGAATTAAGGGTCTTCTGCACTCCCAAGTTCATCACTGTGCCCATTGCACTAACTTGGTGTTTTCTGGGATCCTCTCCAGTGCTGAGATTCAATGATTCTGTTGTGGGGGGTACATTTTCCATATTCCTGGGTTGAGATTTCCCTTTAACTGAGTCAGTCCTTGTAAGCAGTTGGACAATGTTGTTCTTAAGTTGTTGGCTATGACAGTGCCATAAACACATGTCTAAAGCGGGCAGGTCCTTCTATAGCTCCATAGAGATTTCAAATTAAAATCAGCAAGGATCTCTGTTATCTAACATTTCAACATTTTTTAAGCACCTACTATGTTCCAGGCACTGTGCTAGGCCCTGGGGACTCAAAGATAAAAACAAACAGGCTCTCTCAAGAAGCTTATATTCTTCCTGCTGCTTTCTTTTGGCACAAATGCTATACCCATAATTGCATTAGGGGAGCCAGGATATATAGTTTCCTTTTTTTTTAAATTAGGGAAGGGGGTATAAAGCTGTGTTATCATTGGTTTGGGGAACTCCTGGTATGGAAACTCCCTTTTCCTATGTAGATGAGCAACTTATCAGTAATTTAGGATTATAGATTTAGAGCTTAATAGAGCCTTAGAATTATCTAGCCTGATGCTAGATTTGACTGAGGCCCAGAAAGGTTAAGTTACTTGTCCAAGGTCACAAAGGCAAGGAATGGCAGAGTCAATATTCCAACCCAAAACCTTTGATTCTAAATCCCATTTTCTTTCCACTGTATTCTTCCACTTATAATTTTAGAGTTGGCTTGGGTGACAGCAGGGTACAGGGGAGGGGAGACTGAGAAGTTAAATGACTTACTCAGGGTCATATAGCTAGAGTGTCATAAATAACAATTGAACCCAGGTCTTTCTGACTCCAAGGCCTACTGTCTACCCACTGCCATGCCATCATTCACATAAAGAAGGTAGAGCATTCTCCATGTAAACCTTAAAGTGCTCTCTATAACCAGGTGTCACAGTGGTTAGGACATGGGACTTAGAATCAGTAAATCCTAGAACAATTCCTACCTGGGACTCTTATTAGATGTGCGACCCTGGGCAAGTCACTTAACTTCTCTGTTGTAGTTTCCCCATCTTTAAAATGGGGATAATAATCACTCCTAGCTCCCAGGGTTGTTGTAAGAATTAAATGAGTTAACCTATATCAAGGACTTTGCCGATGTTAAAATGCTATATGAATGCTAGCTATTGTTATGATGTAGCTATCAAATATGTTATTACCAGAAAGGATGGACAGAAGTCAAAGAAGTCTCTCCATGTTCATGTCCCAACTGGGCTTTCTCAAACACAATGAGTTCTTTCTGGAGTAGCTTTTAGGGGAGAATGCCTTCCTGGCAACTCCTCTGCAGGAGCAAGAAGAAGAGAAGGAGGAGAAGACAGCCATAGGAGGAAGGGAGGGACTGGGGGGCAGAAAAGGTGTGGGAAGCGGG